GCAGCTTTAGATTCATACCTGCAAACTTAGCAAGAACTGTGGGCAGGTTCATACAAGTTGGTTGAGTCAAGTGTTGATTCTTCAGCCATCATGATAGTCAAATGCACGGGGTACTTTGATAATCCAGGTTTGGGTCACATGTTTGCCTCTGGATCCAGAGGTTGCAGTAAGCCCTATCAGATCCTCAAAGCCAGAGAATCAGGAAAGAATAGTACCCACAGAAATATCAGGCAAACAAAACCTTGCCTGATCCCTTGACTCCATCTCATGGTTTATTACTCTGGTAATACAAAGTGTAGCCTCAGGCTCTGGAAATTTATCAAGTCTCACATCTCAACTACATGGACAATGCTATTAACCTGTGATTCAAATGATTCATCTCAAATCATAGCCAGAAGAAAGTTTAGGGACAGCCTGCCTTCAGGGGCTACCTCAGCTCCAAATTTGGAGGTGTAATGTCTGGATGCATCTGAGTGCCAGAGTCTTGACTCCTGACATAACATATGTGTCAGCATATGCATGTGCTGGCATTCAGCACTGATGTACCAGCACAGCTCCACGACAGCTTCCTGACTTGGTATGCAAAGCTGTGAAATGCAACAAAACAGACTAACATCTTGGAAGCATTCAGATTCTTTTGATGTACATGTGAAAACATTAAGATGAAACCTCTCTGGATATCTTTTTGGCAACCTCATGTCCTACAAAGGACCAAGATTTTTGCAGACTGTAAATGCTGGAGTTGATAATCCTAATTTTTATAGATCTTTCTAAATATTATATTGCTTTTGTTTGTTGTTGTTGTTTATTGGGGGGTGGTTTTGTTTGTTTATTTGTTGGGGTTTTTGAGTTGGTGACTTGCTATCTTGATTAGGCTGGTCCCAAACTCCTGGCCTCAAGCTATCCTCCTGTCTCCACCTCCTGAATAGCTAGGCTTCCAGGCACCTGCCACCATGCCTGGCTTTATTTTCTTAATACTGTATTATTATGTCACCAGTCATACAAGGTAAAAAAAAAAAATGTTCCCATCAACCAGGATGTTGCTTTAAAACTACAACACAAAAATAACCATATTGATAATTGCAAAATGTAAATTCGGGACTGAGTATGAAGCCCCTTTCATAGCAAATAATCTTTGAAATAAATATTCTCAAAAATCAGACTGTCTCCAATCAGGTTCCTACGAGTGAGTGCCAAAATATGTATTATCTGTGTAACACCCTATAACTAGGATTTTAAAGCTCAGACAAGGGAAAGCATACTTCCATTAATGAACCAACGGTCACACCATGACCAATCTGAACAGCCCCCCAACTCCTCTACTGAGAGGGAAAGTGATGGTGAGGGAAAGAGATTCCAGTCTGAGCCTATCCCTTAGGATGCAGAAATCTTACAATCATTTGAATGGAGATCTTTTCACACTTAGAAACTTATGAACCTGACATAAAGCTGAGTTTGTAAAATTAGGGTAAAAAGAGAACTCCTGGGTGTCAAGGAGGTAGGGCTGAGTGAACAAAGGAAGAGTTTGGAGGAACCTTATGGTGCTGAAACTCAGACTTCTGAAGAGGGAACATTGGTCATTTGATGCCAGTGTCTCTGGGCTGGAAAGAGGAGCTCCACAGGGTTGAAACTTAGACCCGTAAGGAGGGGCTTCTGCTCAGTGAGAGCTGATATCTCTGTGAGGATGCAGTGAGTCTGGCCCTGAAAGTACTGGAAAAACTGCAAATTGAATTCATGTGATGCTACAGCAAGAAACTGCCCCCATAATGAATTACCATTTCTGGGATAACAAAAACAAGAAGCAGATAGAAGGGAGAAGTTCCTTCTCCTTCCTCCAGTCTTACAGGCTCCCTTCAGGGTCCTTTATAGGCCGAGCTTTACACAGACCTTGCAGCCCAAGTAGAAATGGAGTGTTCAGGGCCCCAACCCAGCAAGAGGGATAAAAGCACTGAAAACTGGAGTTGTTTATTATTGCGGGAAAACCCAGTCTATCCTCAAAAGCAACCCACAGTGCTAGAATTCAGGATAATGGCTACTTCTGAGGAGTTACTGATGAAAAGGAGAGGGCTGCCTGGGGTTCTGGTGATAATCCGTTTTGTAATCTAGGTGCTGGTTAAAGCCAATGGAAGTTCACTTTTAGCTTGCCACTACTTCCTGTTTCCAGCTCCTCTTCCTCTTGCTGATTTTGCCACCCAAGGATGTGTCCTCTGCATTGATCCAAGAAGGTCTTTCTTTTAGCCACTTATTAGAAAATCCCTAACTTAAAAAGCCACCCTTCTCAAGAAGACATTTAAATTTGAGGTGGAAATCCTAGAGAAAGATGTATATATGCGTGCATATAAAGAAGTATATTTGTGATATATATAAATATCAATATGTCAGCATACATACAACTATAAATAAATAAACATTTCTTCTTCCCATTTCACTCACACACAAAATCTGTGAGTCATCTGTGAGTATATACATGTCATATAATTGTAACTTTAAATGCAATCTAGAGATTGCAATCAAGAAAATCTTGTGATTTCCTTATCTAAATAGCCAACTATGCGTGCTACACCAAAAGGGTCATGGTGGGAAAGAAAGAGAGAGGAACTGCACAGATGTAAAATTAAAGGATACTGACACCCCACTGACAATCACTGGATTCTCTGGATTATTTATGGTGATGGCAAAGAGTGGCCCCAGAATCCACAGAACTGACTGGGGTACCTTGCATTTGGGGCCACTTTCGGTCACAGTTGAGGGGTTAACTATGAACCTTGGGAAGGCAGAGTTAGATTTTACTTAGATTTTATAATTAGAATATTCCAAGAGCCTGGTTCCAGTCCGCATGCCAGAGACACTGCACTTGTATTGGGGCACTCAGAAAACATGATCATATAGTGGGGCGGGGAGGGGAGCTTCCTCCATTCACATAGTGGTCAGAGGTCATTCACAATACATAACTTGGAGGGCTGGGAAGTGTGCTTCAGCATTATTCTCATGGCACTAGAACAATGCTGTCCAATTCTGCAATGGAGATAGTTCAGAGCATGGGAGCAAATGTGGGGGTAAGACTCCCAGGAGGGGCCAGAGTTGTAGCTCAGCGGTAGAGTGCTTGTCTAGCACATGAGACGCACTGAGTTGGACCCTCAGCACCACATAAAAATAAATAAAATAAAGATATTGTGTCCAACCACAATTTTAAAAAGACTCCCAGGAGCTTGAGGAGGGAAATTCAGACCCAGAGAATCCAAGTCTAAAGCATGGCACATGTGAGGCCTCCACCCACTCACCCCCACCAGCATGAGCCACACATTTACATCATACAATGCAATTAAAATGAACATCAAGGACAGCTCTCTTGTATTTCCTGGAGGCTTGTAAGACTACAACCCTCATGGTTGAATCTCAATTCGTGCACCAAAAATAATTTCAAAATAATCCAAACATGCGGGAGGACATACGTAGATCCCACTTAAACCCCTTGACATCACCTTTTCCCTTCTGCCTGTCTCCCCGGTGAGAATGCCAATGCTTTTCCAGCTCTGGCCCCCAGATGCCTCTTGGATGGTTCATCTCTCTCTGCCTTTCCCTCAACCCAGATGAGCTGCATCCCTCTCAGGATGGGGGGGAAGTGAAAACTGGAATTGTTATTACACTAATAACCTTTATTCTGTTATATTCCAAAAAAGACAACATCTAGAGTTCTCCCGAGGTGGTGGTAGGGGGTGTGTGTGTATGCAAAAAACAAAATGTTTAAACATGTCTGAAGACAGATGATGCTGCATTCTATAAATTAGATTTCAGAGGAGTAAATGGCTATCAAGAGAAGTGGTGGAGAAGGAATTATCAATTCAAAATGTGGACAGGTCTATGCCACATTGCTCCAAGACCAGGGCAAACACAATGAATGAATGTATACAACATGAAGAAAGCCACACTGAGGTTCAAAAGGAGCTTAGAAAACCAAAACTCCTGTTGTTTGGGATAAATTTTCTTCAGTGGGTTGAAAGCCAGCATTAGGGGCAGCCCACAGAGAAAACAGCTCAAACTAAGACCACTAGCTCACATCTGGGACTCCAAGCCTCCATGAGAGACCTAACGAGAGCACAGGAAAACCATATAAAGGCCGGGCTTGTTATATTTCACTTGTAGTTCTTTTATTTTGGTGAGATATTCTTTCCTTTAACTTGACCACACAAATAACATGTGGTTTTGTTTATAATGCTGTGAAAGGAAAGAAAACTGGAGCAGAGGTGCAGAGCCAAGAGGGCAGTGGTGTCGCGCATCCTCTGTTGACACAAAGTCAAGTCCCCGAGAATGTATGTGGGCCATCGAAAACAGAGTCTCCATAAAAGGGATGTTTTTCTTTTAATATTAACAGGGTCATTTGTAATGGGTCTTCTGATTGGCAAATATCATTTTTATAATCAGAAAACAATTTTTAAAAATATTGAATGGAGGAAATACGTAGATCCCACTTAAACCTTTTTTGTTTCTTTAACTTTTCGATATTGCAGACAAGGTTGCGAAAGGAAGGAGGGAGGGGAGAGGAAGGGAGGAGAAGGGAAGGGAGGAAGGAAAGGGAAAGGAAGGAAGGGAGGAAGGGAGGGAGGGAGGAAGGAAGGAAGGAAGGAAGGGAGGGAGGGAGGGAGGGAGGGAGGGGAAGATTAGATCTCTTGATAGTTGTAATCATGCAAGTCAATGGATTCCTGGAAGTGCCTGGGAGATTTCAAAGGGCGTGATCCCATGTATAGGTGAACTGGAACATCATCCCCAAAGTATTATAGTAGCAGTGACTTGCAATAGCTCAGCTGACTGATGGACTGTCCATCAAGCAGAATAAGGCTCCCTGCCCCCAAAACTCCTGTGGAGCTTGACATCTCACCACTCAAAGAGAGAATGCAAAAAGCACGTGTGGTCAAATAACAGAGGGAATAAGTGACCCTCGGGATGGTTGCTGCAGTATATAACAGTACATTATATAACAGTACTTAAATAATAGTACTTACGTGAGAGATTTCTATTGCACCACTGAAGACAGGACCACACCATCTAAAATAGATAGAAATGGGCTGGGACTGTAGCTCCGTGGTAGATGTATGCCTCCCATGTGTGAGGCACTGGGTTTGATCCTCAGCATCACATAAACAATAGATAAATAAAGATATTTTAAAAAGAAAACCAAATAGAGCTTCTAAAAAAATAAAGTAGAAATGTTTTAGAGATGGAAAAATTAAGTATGTATTTCTCAATACATTTATTCTATTAATTACATTGCCAATACATTTCCTTCAAGGCAAGACCTATGTCTTTCTCTTTAGCTTCCCAGTTGCTCCCCAGGAATGGGGATCCCACCCCATGGCTTTTCCAAACACTAGTTCATTCCAAACTGAGGGAGTGACTGCTACCAATGAACATGTGTGTGTGTGTGTGTGTGTGTGTGTGTGTCTTCATCTATTCTGTGCTGCTATAACAAAATACCTTAGGCTACATATTTGATAAAGAAAAGAGGTTTATTTAACTCACCGCTCTGGAGATGCAAGAGCATGGTGCTGAAATCGGCTTGGCTGTGGTGAGGGCCTCATAAGGATGGCATCATAAAGGAAGGAGTGTGTGCAGAAGAGATCACAGGAAGTCAGAGAGCAAAGAGGATAGTTTTTTCTCTTTTGGTAACAATCCACTCTAATGGGAACCAACCTGGGTTCTAAGAGAGCTACATTAATCCCTTTCAAGGATGGCACCCCAATGGCCTAAAAATATTCCATGAGGCCCCACCTCTTAAAAGTTCTACTACCTCTTACATTACCACACTGGGGGAACCAATCTTCTAGTATATTAATCTTTAAGGGACAAACCATATCAAACCATACCAGTGTGAAACTAAAATTTCCATTCACCCTGACTCTCCTTTTGAACAGCACAATAGCCTCCTTTGGTTGAATTTTTGTTTCTCATTTATATATATATATATTCTTTACTTTCTCAAGTGATCAATTCTGTGTGCAGTTATATCAAAAGAGTGAATACATGCCCACTCTTTTAACATTGCTCAGATGTGCTTAGTGGTGAATTCCTGAGCATACCTTGAATAAGAAGCTAATGTGTGGTGTTACAGATATGCTGTATGAGGTTAAAACATGTTAGATCTGGCAGATACAGGCATTAAGAAGTCGGTGATAATTAGTGCCAGGCTCCCTGCTTGGAAATGCTGTTGCTAGCATATTTTCCTTCCAGTGAACTCTATTATTATATGCACTAAATTTTGACAGTTGGCTATCTTAAGCCTGAAGGGCAAAAACCATTTTTTTTTCTATAAGAAACTAATTTCTTAGAAAATGGCACTGAAAGTGGATTTGAAAAACCCTTTTTGGAACTTGCAAAAATCCCAATTCTTGGTGCCCTTTCTAAAAGAGTTTTTTGAGGGTAGCTCCATTCTGTAGATTCAGAGAGCAGGTCTCAGGGTGGTAGTCCTACTCCTCAGGGCACAGGCAATCCTCAGAGACCCTAAGGCCAAAGCAGGAGGATAAGTTTCCAGCACCAAAAAGGGTGTCCTAAATTCACGGAGCTCCTCTCAATGCAATCCTCACCTCAGATGCCAGCTCCTACACTGAAGAGATGGAGAAACACCACTCGGTGAGCCATCACAAGATGGTACCCTTTAAAGGGCAATGGACAGACTGGGCAAGGATGGCAGGGCATAGTCAAACAAAAGGGCTTGAGAAACATAGTCCTTACATCAGCGGGGGAACTTCCCAAGTTGTGTGTGGTCTGCACCATGTTTTCCCAATTTATTAGTGCTGTTCGAATATACGGGTAGAATCAACTCAATGTGTGTGCTGGAAATACCAGCCCCCCTTCCAAAACACTCTCTTGTCGTCACTTCAGACACTGGCATTCTCATCAATGTCATATTCCAGGGGATAAAAAGTCAAAGAAAGAGGAAAAAGTAAAAATCTACTCCTGAAGAACTTAACCACCTCTAATCGCCCTCTAAACTGGGGCTCTTGCAAAGTTACCTCCTCCCCCCAAGCAGACTTGCCCCTCCTTGGGGCTCATCCTGCATGGGTGAGAATGTTTTCCATGTGTATAATTTTTTCATATGTATGTGTGTGTGTGTGTGTGTGTGTGTGTGTGTGTGAGTGTGTGTGTGGCAAGTATATAGTATCTGCAAAAATAGAGAAGAGTTAAAAGAGAGTTCAGGAAAAAAAAGTGATTAATGCTATCCAGGTGGTGGTGGTGGTGGTCAAAAAAGTCTCCCTGAGTGGGTTTTTCAAGGCAGATTTTTCAATCTTACTTCCTTGCCGACTAATCCTCTATTCAGAGCATTCCTACAATCATTTACATTTTCAATATTTTTTTATCCCAACCCTAGGACAGCTAAAGACAGCCTGGCTCTGGAGAACCTTACTGTGGTCCTCCGTAGCCTCCCCTTTCTATGGATCCACAACACCTTTCAATGGTTCCATTCTCCTTTAATTTTTGTTCATTCCTCCCCCCCACACACACAATCACTTGCTTCTTCTCTCCCTTCTCTTTCTTAAAAAAATAAAGAGTGCCAGGCACAGCGGTGCACACTTAAAATCCCAGCAACTTGGGAGGCAGGAGGATGGCAAGTTGAAGGCCAGCCTCAGCAACTTAGCAAGAACCTGCCTCAAACCAGTTTTTCCCCAACCTAGACTGAGTCAATTCATTTCAAAACCTAAACTGAGTTTACACTTTTGGCTTTGCACTGATTCCAGACCATCTCTCTGGCGTATTAAAATATTTTCATTCTTGCTTGTATCATCAGACCTAAAGGAACAGCAGCCCAAGTTCACAAAGTGACCCTGGGCAAGCCTCTTGACCTCTCTGAACAAGGCTGCCACATCAGACAACTCCTGGGGGGCCCCATTCTATATAGTCTACATGAATGGTGCCTCTGCAGTTACACAGTGGCCTCAGCTCTAGATCTGCCATTCTTGATCTAAAAAAAAAAAAAAAAAAAAAAAATCAGTAGACTGTACCAAAAGCTCTGACTTGAGATCATTTGCACTTTTGATAAAGATCCTTTCTATGCTTTCATCCTATCGTCTGATAAAATTACTAAGAACGAAATACAGAGGAGGTCGTGTGTGCACCGGGTTTCTCTTGGTGTTCTTGGGAGGCTGGTTTAACTAGGTCAACAGTCATCCTGCACTTCCTGTGGAGCACCACTGGCCTTCAAGAGTGTGGGAGAGCAAGCGCTGCCACTCCCTGTCACACGGACAAAAATACTTGTGAGCAACCATGTGCTTCATGCACTCTGAAAATCCCTGAAAGAGGAGAGCTGGCTGACCCCAGAGGATCTCAGCGAGAAGGTGCAGAACAACCGGTCCGAGAGTCGCTGCTATTTGCATTGTCATCTGCTCCATGTCTTTCTCTTTCAGTTTTGCTCAGACTGACATCACAGTGGTGAACCACGATTGGTTGTGGCTGAAGAGGCAGGAAAATGTCAGGCATTTCAGGTTAAAGATGAAGCCGAGGGTACTCCATTTCTTCATGTGGTTCATGGTTGTCCACTGGAAAGGGGCAACAAATGAGGAGATAATTCAGTGGGAGGGAATGTGATCAGTGTACTCTTACCTAGAAGATTCTGAAGTAGGGAAGAGCTTAGTGAGTTCAAGAAACAAAGAGTGTGGGCTGGAGCTGTGACTCAGTGGTAGAGCACTAGCCTAGCATGTGAGGCGCTGGGTTCAATGCTCAGCACCACATTTTAAAAATAAATAAATGAATGAATAAAGGTTTTGTGTCCATCTACAACTAAAAAACTAATTAATTAATTTAAAAAAAAAATAGAAGCCAGGGTGGTAAGAGCCAAGTGAGCAAAGAGACATGAGACCAAGAGGGACCAGGTGATGGCTGCATGATACACAGGCCAGGTAAAGGACCTTGGGTTCTATCCTAAGCATAATTCAACATCATTGTCCAACAGCAGAGGAATGGGTTATCAAATTAGGTTATAACCACACCAAAGAATTCTAGCCAGCACTGACTCCCAAAATGCGTTCTAAATATTTGTCCATAGAACAGATATTACATTGTTTTAAAAATGATTTTATGTTAAAATTAATTTGCAGCAAATGTCACATCCTCATTTTTTTTCTTAAAGCTTATTAGAATATTATAGGCTTTGAGAGCACTCTCAATAAAGGAATTTGTTTACTTTCATGAATTCCCAAACTTATTTGACCTCAGAGATGTTTTATTTTCCACAAGTAATGTTACTTAAAAAATCCCAAGAAACTAGCATTCTTTAAATATCTTTTGGTAAATATTGTTCTCATCCATTTTAAATGATCATATATCAACACTAAAGAAAAATGAAAATTATACCATGATTAGATTGCAACTGATATAAAAATATGTGTATGCTAAGGTTATGTTTAACAATTAAAGTACGTTGCTTAAGATAACAGCATTTTCAGTGATATTATTTCTTTATGAAGTCTTCTTTGATTCTGATATTAAACCAATTTTTCAATTACATTTTTAAATTAGTCAAAGGTTATGAGAGCCAAATTTTTAAAAATGAATTTGAAGTTTTACCAATTCAACGGATCATCCCATGGGCTGCTGCACAAATTTCACTTCATTAGTGAAACCTCACATCCATTACGATGAAGGAAAAAAAAATAGTCATCATAATACCAGTTCTAATCACTGGCTGGCAGGTTGATCTAATTAACATCTCTTAATTGGATGAGTTAATTTAAACTAAAATGCAACTGGATTCACCCCATGTTTAACAACAGACATCCGCCAGAGGACACATGGAATGTTCTGAAGTCACCTTCCTTTCCCATCACTTCCCAGAAAGTCATTTCAAAAAACATTTCCCATACACAGTTCAAAGCCTTTTTTAGAATTTTGGAGCCAGAAATTAAATTATTTTATTTTCATTCATCCATTTAGCAAATATTTATTGAGTACTCTAGGTTATGCCTAAGAATATAAAAATTAAAAAGACAAAAATCTTTTATTCACCATGAATTCTCCATAGGAGATATATGTGCAAAAATAAATAGACAGATAGATAGATATTTAGATATAGATATAGATAATGTTATAAGGAATAAACTCTGACTCTGGTATAAGTTGGTATAATGCTTGTACAAAGAAGACCAGCCACTTCTTCTTGGCATAAGGAAAATGGGTCAGATGGGCTTCGAAGAGACTGAGACGTTCGAGCCACATCTTCTAAAATAAGCATACACTTGCCCAGCAGAGAAGTTGGGAATGACATTCCAGGGAAAGAGAAGAATGTGTAAATAGATGCGTAACCTGGCTCAAGTGCCACTGGGGACACAGTAAGAAGACACAGGAACACCTGCCACAGACACATCAAATAAGATCAAGATTAATAGGGGACCATAAGTTTGAATTTTTAGATGACAACACCCAATATAAAGGCAAAGGGCAGTTTCGGAGAGCTAAGGGGGAAGCTGCAAACTGCAGTGCATTGAGGAGGAAAGGAAGGTCTCCAGAAGCATGCTCCAATGATTTGTGGGACCCAGACATTCTTAATTCATGTGATAAGCAGGTGCTTATGATGGAATTCTATTGTGCAATATAAATAAATATTTTGTAATTCTGGACCCAGGTATAGATGATTCATATGATTGCAAATAAGTCATCCTTTCACTCTTTACAAATAATATCACCTTGGGGAATGAGATTGATTGATCAAATTATGCTATGTGCCCTATGAATATGGCATAATGAATCCAACTATTGTATATCATTACAATGCACCAATAAAATAAATAATTGTTTTAGAAATTAATCATACTTAATAGCAGGTTGCAAATTAATCTTGCTATCTTAGATGAAAATGCTACGTGTAAGTAAAAGGTGATTATTAAATTCACTTCAGGTTCAAAAACTCCTAAAGTGCATGGCAGAGAAGCATGCATTCTGAGATCCTTGATGAAACAGAGAGTGGTGTGTGTTGCTAAGGAAACTGCATTACATGTTTGCAGCAGCATTTCTCGAAGGGTTGTGGGATGCTTATTTTCATATGAAGAGTGGTCTGTGTTCAATGGGAAAAAAAGGCAAAAAGATGGCATTATAAAATGCAAGAACTACAAGGGAACTTCATATCACCCATCCAAGCTCTTCATTCTGTGGATGTAGAAACAGAATCAGGGAGGTTAAGAAGATGCCCACAGCTCACACAGTGAGTCAGAGCTGAAACCAAGACAGCAACCCAAGATCCCAGGTTCCAGGAGTCTGCTGTGCTTACTTTCAGTACCTCAGGACCCATCCCAAAGGCCAGAACTAAGTCAGAAACAGAACTAAGAAGTCAGTTAAAAGTCAAATCAAGAATACATTTCCCAGGACCGGGGTTGTGGCTCAGAGGTAGAGCGCTTGCCTACCATGCATGGGGCACTGGGTTTGATCCTCAGCACCACATAACAATAAAATGAAGATGTTGTGTCCACCTATAACTAAAAAATAAATATTTTTTTTAAAAAAAGAATACATTTCCCTGAGCTGGGAATGGTGGCACATGCCTGTAATCCCAGTGGCTCTGGAAGTTGAGGCAGGACGTTCAGGAGTTCAAAGCCAGCCTCAGCAAAAGCAAGGCACTAAGCAACTCAGTGAGACCCTGTCTCTAAATAAACAACAAAAATAAAATAGAGCTGGGGATGTGGCTCAGTGGTCGAGTGCCCCTGAGTTCAATCCATCCCCAGTAGCACCCCCGCCTCAAAAAAAAAAAAAAATACATTTCCCTGGGATGCTTTGGGAGAAGGAGGGTCATCATGAACACCAGATAGCTGCCAATCATTTTGCTGGGTGCTATGCAGACATGAGAGAAAGTGCAAAATATTCTTTTGCCATTTTATAGTCAGTCAGTAAACAAATATTTCCTGCAGGGCTACTACCTGCCAAGGACAGTTTGAGACCCTGGAGATTGCAATGAACGAGACAGAGCCTCTTCCTTCACAGAATTACATTCTCGTTGGGGAAGACATAACAAACAAGTCAACTAATGAATACACAAGAGAATAGTCAGTGCTAGGCAGAGACATCAAATAGGCTGATGTAATAGAGTGTGACAAGAGGGAAGGTGGGAGGCTGGACCAGGCCTCATCTGGAGTAGTCAAGGGAGACCTTCTGGTCTCCACCACTGCATGTTGGTAAGACATGCAGTCACACACCAGGCATGAATGTTCTCATGAGAAGACCTGAGGATTCCTAGCGCCTGCTGTCCAGGGGTGAGGCCAGGCAGCAGCCAGGACAGGTATGTGTGTGCCTATGTGCAGAGAGATGCCTGTCCAAGTATCTCCAACAGTACCAAGAGAGAATGGGTGGTGGGGACAGTTCAAAAGAATTTTCTGAAACATTTTGCTGCTGTTTTCTTTGGCTTCTATTAGGCTGAACTACTTACTATGCAATGATTCTCACCTTGTGGCCCAACTTCCTTTCCTTTCTCAGGGCTCTAACAATAGTCAATTGCCGGCCCCTCCTCCCACCCCCTTCTAGCCACATAAATTTTCTTACGTTAACTAGATACCACTGTTCATATAAATGGGCTGAAGACAAGGTGCTAGAGTCAACCATTAAGACCCCCAGAGTAATCACAGGCACGTCCTGGACCGAGAAAAATAGGGCAGAGTAGTGGTAAGGCTGGTTTAATGGGCATTCCAATAAGCACGAACAGATTGGACTCAAAGTGACTGCAACACCATCAGGATTTCTTAAGGGAAAACAGCAACGGGATGTTGGAATTAATTTGAGGCCTCTAACATTGACAGAGTTGGAAGCAACACAAATCTCAAAAAGTCAATCTGCTCTGGGAATGTTAAAAGGAAACACTTGTTTGGAAGGAATTTTTAAGTGTGAAAAAGAAAGGCTATTTTCGGTGAAATCTGTGAGCAGGGAGCCTGGCCACACACTGGGGGCTGAGAGAAGATGGAGCTCTTGGGGAACTGTGGTCCAGCTCCCAGCAGTTTATACGCCCAGCACCCAGTTGAGAAATCATGTGCTCTGATTAATGCCTGCAGTGTTGCCAAATGACTGCCCTGGGGAGAGATGGAAGCGGATCTTGTTCCCATTCTTCCTTTCCTGGCCCCAGCACTCCAGGATTTTCTTCATTCCATGCTGACCATGGATGCCCTAAGAACCCCGCACCTTGAGCTGAAGGTTTTACAAACCACTTCCTCATCCTCCATTAGTAAATACAGGTTCACATGGACCGTTAACCTTCAGCGCGAGGGTTTCCAACTGTATCCAGTATAACGTATTCCCTTAACAGGTCCCCAGACCAGGGTAAAATCAACAGCAGAAGGCAGCCACACCTGCCCCAGGTCTGCCTACAATGTGTTAGTGGTTTCATGTTTTGGGACACGTCTTCCTACTCCTCCTAGGTGTCTGGATGGACACTTCATGCTTTATTTGCCTTGGCTGTGTGCTGTTTAGGAAAATTTGGGGTCACTGGTGGTGAAAGATCATATACTGGTCTACTTAGCCTTCCTGGGTAGCTTTTCCTTCCACTTCATAATGTCAGTAGAAGATC